GTGTGCGTGCACGTGCATGTGTTTGTGTTCTGTTCGTGTGCGTGTGCGCGTGCGCGCGTGTATAAAGACCAGAGTTTAGAGGCTAAAGGGTGACAAAAGCGTGAGCTCTTTATTCGCGTTGTGCAACAAGCAGTTGTTTCCTGCAGTCCCCCGGTTATTAGCGTGTAAGGGGTCTTCTCTATCCGCTGCGGCGTGTTTTATTGTATAACAGCAGCGGGCGCTTGTATCATACCGGTACCGTAGGTGGGCGTTGTTGTTATCAGCTGACGGCTAATGGTCGCAGCGCAGCGGGCGTGCCCACCCAGCCGCAGCGCAGTGTTGCGTCACGGAGTATTGTTTGCATGTCTAAATAGATCCACGGTGTGTCTGAGGTTCACTGCCCTACTTTCGAGTTAAACTTTTCATCTGCGAGGCCTGCCCGTGTGCCCTGACCTGAAGCTTGATAGTGGCGGCGGTTGTGACAGCCGCTTGCACACACACAACAACACACACACATACACACACATACACACTACCGATGTGCTAGTCACTCTGTAGTGTTCTGGTGTGGTGCTCTCTCTGTGTCTATCTCTCTTCCAGTTTCTTACACGTGTCCGCGTGTGCGCATGTTTACTATAGTGTGTGTTTGCATCCTTACTTTCCTGGTGAATGGCAGAGTGTGCATGCGGACTAATATGTAATACCGCTCGGTGACCAAAGCAGCGTTAACGAAAATGTCTTCTACTTGTCGTCGTCATCAACAACTAACCCACGGAGTTTTAGCATAGTCGATTCGTGTGCTCACGGTGCGGTGTGTTTCCATCGTTCATCATGACCATATGGGAGTGGTTGGATTACAATGAGAGTATCGGAACCGAGTGCTTCAGGAACGGTCACAGCAGTGGCGGCAGCAATAGTCACGGCAGCGGTGCGTATATATATGCTACGGTGTGGTCAGCGTTGTCGGGGGTTGTCGCCGTGTAGGACGGTGCAGACGCGTTGGTGAAAGACGCTGACGGAAGATGGCGCGTGGGAGGTTTAGCGCTCGTAGTTTGAACAGGTCGATGTTACTGCGGTGTTTTATTACTGACTGCTGCCTGCTCGGTGAACATTCACCGTATCGTATCTAAGTAATATTCTTTCCGTCTAGGATAGATGAGAAAGAAGATCTGAGGTAATGTGTACACAGCGGCAATCTATGCAGATGACTAGTTCAGGTGAAGGCGGCGCGTACGACGTAATAACTTTGATGTTCCGGGCGAGGGTCTAAGAGCGTCCGTTCGTGTTATTCTAGAATAAATATTAGGATTGTAATGTGGGAAGGTTGATTATATATCGGAGCGTGATGTAACCGCGCGCACTGTGAAAAGAACGTTTTTTGTCATTTTTAAAAGGGTGGATGATTTCATTCGTCATCGACGAAATTTCCGCGAATCGGCTGTCATGCGTTGAAGCGGTTTACAGTTACGTCCCGCACAAAGGGGATGCTAAGCAAAAGCTCAGATTAAATTCGCAAAGTTTCATATATAAATGTCTGGCTACTGCCCGATCTCGCATCGTATCATATATATTTCACAATCGCTAGATGTGAAGCCTACCTATGAATAAATGACTTCCTGCGTTTGCCCCTGCGGCGTTGTGCTCATCGCTATTTGCATGTGAGGCCTCCATCTGCCATCCATAATGTATGAATAGTCAGCAAATATTATGCAAGAATAGACTAGGATGTGCAATATTGATAGCCTGAGCTATCATAGCACTAAACATACAGTGGCCGCGGCTAACGTTCTAACCGATGCGTATTACTACGAGTAGTGGTTTATCAAGCCTCGGGGCAGGCTTCCTCCTGCGTGTACAAGTGTGTTAATTGTCTGCACTAAGGAACTGGAGTGGGGGGGGGGTGACAGGCAGCTAGACATTATGATTGTATTGGATATTTCAGTGCAGTCCAAGTCAGTTGGTTAATGCCACTGATCTCTATATAGTAACTCGATAGCGCTAGTCCTACACACCGTGACACGGTCGGTAAGAAAGTGACGCCACCGCACCACTGCCGCCATCTTGCCACCACCCCTAAAAGTTGATATCTGCCGGTGTGCGCCCCACAACATTTCAATTGGATAATGGCGAAATATACAGCTTATTTTATTATTTTTATTCGCATGAAAACAAACTTTGGTAAACACACGATAGATTTGATATATTTTTACAGATAGATAAATATATACAACGAAAGAGACAAAAGATATGATAGTCTATACATAAAGGATTTGGATGTGACGTCACGAGTCACCTGAAAATTCGACTCAGTCTATTGGCCTGACGGTAGGTCGAGGAGTGGTGTCATGGCGTCTGGTGACTTATTGGCCACCAAGAGCTATCCATGCAGTTAGTCAGGAGTTCAGTGGTTAATGCACGGCCAGGTATATGCTACAGCACGGGATGTATTATATATTATTATACAGCCCAGTAAATCTTGATCGTAAATTTATTTGTCATTTCTTCACAGAAAGGAGTACATACGATAGAGATAGGACCATGTGCTTGCGTGCTATGTGCGGGCTGCGTGTCTGCTAATAGTAACATGCGTGCGTGCATGCGTTTATTTGATCGTGCATGCATGTCTGTATACCGCCATGGGCGTGCGCACAACACCCCCATTTCACCGTAATAGCCAGTAACCGCTAACCACCGGTACAACAACCAGCTATATTATATCGCTGATTTCACGGAACGCGTCACATGCTGTTGCGATGCGTCATGCATGGTGGAAAAGAGGGGACTAACCCCTTTAATCAACCGCTGTGCTACTGCGAGCCTCAGCGACTTTTAAGTGCCATCAACCGCTCGCGCTGCGAGCAATGTGTGGCAGTAGGTCTAGCACTCGTTACCTCTATAAGTACCCCTTACTCCGCGGCTGAGCAAACACTTCTGTGAGCCGGCAGACGGGGGAGCGCTGGGGACAGTCTACCGGCAATGTCTCCCGATGGGGGTGTGCACCTTGTGGGCGGAGCCTGGTGACTGTGAGGCGCATTCATGCGCCAGTCTACACATACAGACAGATTAACCCATAGACCTGCTTGTGACATGATTGTCTCTGCGGCCACCAGCCATTTACTTTTACACTCGAATTCTTTTGTGCCGACGTGAACTAGTTTCGTCTGTAGGCCAGCGATGGGTTTCACTTGTGTTTTTTGACTGTTGATGTTTTACTTTCTAAAAAAACCGCATTTATCGCACAGTGAATGTCCAGCCCACTGAATGCGCAGCCGAAAGGCGACCCAGATATCTTGGTCATATATCAACTGGGTTCGTCGGCATGCGAAGGAATTAAGAAGATTCCGTTTTAGTAGTTATGCATACCTAATGGGTTTTAGGTGGGGTATGAAGACCACAGGCACTTGGTCAATAAAAAAAAGAAGGTAAATAAACATGAAATATATTTACTACCAAAGTCTTAATGTTTCTCTATTCTATTTCGCCTATAATCACCTGTAAATGCTGGTCAAATGCTCATCTGCAGCACACAAGTACACCGCACGCTAGCTGCTGCACACTGACACATAAAAAGGAAGGATCCTCACGAAATAATCAGGTAGGAAAGTGTGCTGCCAAAATTCGCTCAACGCTCGCTTGATTTCATACGAATACAACACAAATATTCAACCATTCTACTCCATCTTTGTTTCTATTGGAAGAACAGTGTTCACTTGTTATAAAAACATACTGTCTGTGTTCGTAACCGAGCTGTGTCACACAAAGCCTGACGAAATTCTCGCGTTCGCTCCCGTTGCGCAGTTTATGTAAATGGCTGCAAGTACACTTTATTAAGTATACTTAAGACGCTTTTGAATATATAGAATATAGGAGGAAAAATAATCGCCAAGGAACTCTCTGCTTACTCTCTGGGGTTTCTCTTGTTCATACGCATTTTTACATTGGCAGACAAAGGCAGGTATAATGTGGAAGGGACTTTCTTTAACGCGCGCGCCTAATTGTAGAATCGAACTGAAATCTGTCACGGTGCACATAGCACGCTACAGAGCGCTGAAGAAGCCCTCTGAGAGCTGCCTTCGCAATTAGATAGCGGGAGAAGATTCTCAGTTTAAACGGTTTATTGATGGCAGTAGCTGGGCAGCCGCATGTTAGGTCACAGGGGCTTTCTCACCGTCGTCGCGATTACCATTTCGCGCTCACTGGGGGCGGCGCTCGAGGTGAAATGTCAGCGGCAGGCGCGCGCGCGGTGGCGTCGCCGTGCGTGCGTGCGTGCGTGCAGCGTGAGCGTTTCAGCGTTTTCTCTCCGATTCGGTGCCGCGCACACGGCGTCGTTGAATCTCACAGGAACTGTTGCGTTCTCGAACGTTTCACAATAACGTCGAGGAGTCGGTCACGCAAAACCGAAAACCTGTCTCGTGTTCAAGTATAATATCAAGAGCTCTTGATAATATGCGAGCCTGTCGACGGCAGCGGGAGATCGGGTTGCGGGCGGTGTTGGGGTGGGGGGGGGGTGTCCAATCGCAGTCACCTTTTAGTGGAGATCGATAAGAACGCCGAGCCAAGACTGGCCTTATAGACATTCCAAATCGCTAGCCAGTGAAATCGTGTTCGACAAATGTGTTAATTGGGTCGTATTGGGTTTTGCAGTAAATTGTTTTTTCGCACGTGCTAATATAATAACCAGATGCAGCAGTGTGTACGTAGCAGCAGGTGGTGGTAGACAGTAGTAATTAACTCTGTCTAGCAGCAGCTACCGTGTGCCGCGACGGGCGATGGTTAGAAGCGATGTATAATGTATACACGCGGGTCAGTGTTTTACCTGAGCAAACTCACTTTGCTTCTGAGCGTAATGAAGTGTTCGCTGAACACTGCGGTTTAAATATCAAAGGAATTGTGCTGCAATTATTTGACAGGTTTGTTTGTAGCAAAGCAGCGTTCGTTTGAATAATGAATTTGATTTATAACTTCAGCAATCGCAGCAGTCGTTGATCTCATCTCTCTCTCTTTTTCTCCGTGCGTTTCAGGTGGCTACAACGACGGAACAAGTTATCATTTCAAGATCCTCGTGCCAAGCGTGGCAGCTGGGGCCATCATTGGCAAGGGCGGGGAAACGATCGCACAACTACAGAAAGAATGCGGGGCCAAAATAAAGATGTCAAAGGCAAACGATTTATATCCAGGTAAGAGAGTCAGCCCGTGTTTCTGCACGAGGTGCACCCTAGGGCCTTGCTACGTTTGTATAATGCAGGGTTATCCATTGCTGCAGAGTGGAACATTTATTCCCTACTATACGTCAGGTTGTTGAGATAATCATGTGCGTCCTTAAATTAATAATCGCCATGAGAAAGGTTGCAGACGAGATAAGTGTAATCACGCTGTATCGGCGTCATATGAAATTCAGTTTGCACAGAAAAATCCATATATCCATTATTAAGAAGCAAGCACCACCGGCACGCGCCAGCCCCGCGCACGTGCGCACGTGCGTGCGTGCGTGCGTGCGTGCGTGCGTGCGGCCCGAGCGATACCCGTGCGGTTCCATCTGATATTTGTTAACAATAATCATCGATCGCGTATCTGTACCGATGAAAAATTTATCGCAACTAAATTTCGTTAAATGCGGCCATTGATGTCGGGGCGCGCGCCTCATCAATCATCGTCCGCAGCCTGCCAGCCTCCATGCAGGCGAGCGAGCGACCGGCGGCTTCGATGCCCTTTCGCCGCGCGAGAACGTCATTTGACGGAGAGCGCGGAATGTTCTCGCGTATGCTTTCACGCCGGATGTTTTCCGTTTTATGGGGGAAAACAAGGTACGGAGCTGCAGCTTCAATAATGCAGCGTCTGACGCCGATGCCGCTTGCGCCTGCCGGTGGCCATCTTACAGACTTTGTTGGCATGCATGCGCGCCGTTAGTACATAATTTATTGTCGCGTTCTTGTCATTAGTTTTCGCGCGCGCGCTCGTTAGTGTCAGTAAAACGAACGCAGGTGCATGCGCCTCTGCGTCTTCTTCCTCTGGAATCACGAATCTCTGTCATCGTCTCTCGTGCATCAGGCCTGGCGCACGCCGCCTGCTGCCTGCCCTGCAGCCTACTGGCGATCTCTCTCCCTGATAATACTATCGTTCACTATTAAAAGAGCCTATTAAGATCAATTGTAGAGCGTAATGAGAGGTTCCAGTGATCCCAATGAATGAGCGAGGCAGCGAGCGAGAGAGTGTGCGTGCGTGCGTGATGTGTGCGTGTATGGCAATGTGTTTCCAACGTTTAGTAGAGTTTCCAGAGGCAAAACCTCTTTGAAAGACTTTCAAGAGGGAGCGAGAGTAATTAGCCAGAGGGCCGGGAAGCGTAAAGTAGGTGGGATTTTCTCCTGGTTTGTCTGGAAACGGTAATCGTCATGGCATATGGGAATTTTACGTCAATAAGGATCTGAAAGAGGGAGAGAGAAGGGCGAGGAGGGGGTGGGACGGAAGGAGGAAGAAGGGAGGTTGGGCAGGAGAGAGGGAGGGACTGTATGAGGATGGGAGGGAGAGAGAGAGGAGGAGGCAGCGATAAAAGATGGAGCGAGAGGAAGAAAGAGAGAGATGGTGAGTGTGTGTGTGTGTGTGCGTGCGTGCGTGCGTGCGTGCGTGCGTGCGTGCGTGCGTGCGTGCGTGCGTGATGTGTGCGTGTATGGCAGTATGTTTCCAACGTTTAGTATAGACTTTCCAGAGGCAAAACCTCTATCGAATCGCCATACTTGTCAAAAATCCAACCGTGTTTCCACACATGCAAGCTCGTAATTAGTGAGTCGGTGGATCTGGACGGGATTAGATTTTAAACGGTATATAGCGAGAGCAATTCAGTAATGATTAGTTTCACTGGTGATGCCTATACATTTCCTTTACCAAACCGGGAGACGTTACTTGTGTGAAACTTCGCATATCGTTAACGCTAACCATTACAATTACCTATTATTGTTAGTGGATAGCGAGACACTGCTTCCTTCCATCGGCCATTAATGGCGTCGTCAGGCTTCAGTTAAAAATCTAATTGTGATAGCTCTAAAACCTTTTACCGAGCAAATCACTGCACGGAGTGTGTGCTTACACGGTCAGTCACTAGTAGTAGGAGCGGTGCATGCACTCGTGGCAGGGTGAGTGAAATATGGCTTTGGCTTAGTTTGGCGTGTGAGCACGGGCTATACGTCTGTCACCAGGGGCCTGATTATCAGAGCGTCGCACTGAACATACACTGATGTAAGTGCACGGTTGCCGTGTATATACTTACATCGGTGAGAAAGTTTCCGTCTCGCCGCGTATCGAGGGTGTTAGAAGTTTCGCGTGCCCTTTTCGCTATACGGACGGTTTATGATGTGTCGTGCTGAAGTTGAAGGCATGCAATAGGAGGCTTTTTGTGAATTGAGATTGCTTTTCTCAACGGACCGAATCGACATTTGGGAAGGGGGGGGGGGAGAGAGAATGAAGCCAACAGACTCGCTCGTGGTTAAGGTAGATGCTCAGATATATTTTATTGCGCGCCACAGTAGCCGGTTCACGTACATATATATATACCTAAGGCCGCGTACGCTCCAAGACGGCATGGTGCAGCAGGGCAACACCTCCCGGCAGGCAGGGTATAACAGTGACCCATCTTATAAAAACTGCGCGCCATAGCCCGCGGACGAGTGCTGTGCTCGCTATATGAGGGCGCACGCGCAGTTACAAACCTATTGCAGCTCGCCGATTTCGAAGGAAGAAGGGTCATCGCATATGTACAAGAGCGCACGACTTTCTGTGTATTTTCATTTCGGAAAAAAATTCGGAGGAGAAACGCACATATTTATGCACGACATTTCCCACCCCTCGCTCTCTAACATGGTTCGCACAGTCCTTGAAAAGTCCTTGAATTTGAGGGTAGTCCTTGAAAAGTACTTGAATTTAGTAAATGTTGATTTTGTGCTTGAAAAGTGCTTGAATTTCATGAAAATGTCCTTGAATTTCATGAAAATGTCCTTGAATTTCATGAAAATGTCCTTGAATTTTTAGAAAGAATCCTTGCCGGTAATAAAAAGAAATTTTGTACCATCAATAATGTGCAAACCTCAATAAAAATTGCGTTAAATGAGCTTAAAAAGCTATAGACACGATAGACAGTTAAATGATGATCACAAATTACAGTAAGTCAGTAAAATCAGTCAGTAAATCAAGGTATGTTGTAGAAGTGACAGTGTTTAGAAGGGTTTATTAATGTGATCCAGGTAAGTTTTAGAGGTGACATGCAGTGATTAAGAATGGGATCTTAAATTAATTAACCAAAATTAATTATGGGTTATTAAATTAATCCAGGTATGTTTTGTTCTGTGTATGAATTCCGATAAAATGTCTGATAAAATGTTCTTGAATTTTCGATAAAATGTCCTTGAAAAGTCCTTGAAAAGTCCTTGGAAAACATTTCAGTCCTCCTGTATGAACCATGTCTAACCTTTCTTTGCTAATTGCTAATTTGCTACTGAAACTTCTTTGGGTGGATTTACTGACTGGCTCGCACTGTGATAAGATATCATAAAAACAGTAGCTTATTCAGTTAACACCGCAGACAGACGCTCCGTCTCGTTGCCGCGACTGTATACTCTGCTAGATGCACCAGCCGAGGCGAGCTTTATACATTACAATATATAATTAATATTCACTATCGATAAAAAAAATTCATAATAAAAAACTGTGGGCGGACAGCAAATAAAAAGGTATTCGTGCACGCCAACGCTCAATATTGACATCTACAAAATGGCACGTTAGTGTATTCGCTTCGCTAATTGTGGCTTCCGCGACGGCTTGTTTTGCGTTAAGATTCTTTCTTAACTAATTAGATACAACGTTACTCTGCTGTATTTATCACGTGTAAAAACAAAGAACGAACGGGGATCATTTTCTCTCGATTTTAAATGCAGCCTTAAGTAATTGATAAATGATGAAGTGCGTATGCAGCTCTTGCGTTGCTGTATGCGCTATAACACCAGTGGCACGCCCATAATTGCACTCGCCGTTTAATTAGCAACCGAATACTTGCGTCTGATTACGATCAGCTTGTATTTCTATTGTATGCTGCAATCTTGCTTGTTGGGGGTTTGTAGAAAACATGCGAAACCATAGTCGTTAGAGCGTGATGTGTGACTTTGCCGCCAGATATTCTTATCATTAATCGATGACGAAGGAGATGTCCAACCGATAAATCGATGATGTGGGAATAGCGAGAAGCTAGGGATCTCCCCCGCAATAGTTTCACATAACTAATCCCACCTAGATTTGCAGAAACCCAAACTCGTGATCGGTGCTCCATGCCATGAATACCAACTAAAATGTAATCTCTTTAGAGATTAATTTAATTACGTTCCGGTTCCCACGCATGAAATATTCTCTCGGCTCTCAACTACCAAGACTTATCATTTTTATATCTGGGTAACTATTGGTTACACAAAGACGGAAGTAATACGCTCTGCAAACTCAGATATGGAAAAAGTCTCTGACGAAAACGAGTAGCGCAATTAATTCCCTGACTATCTCTCCGGGAGTAGTGCACATGCGTGCGTGCGTGCGTGCGTGCGTGCGTGCGTGCGTGCGTGCGTGAGTGTGTGCGTGCGTACGACTGCGTACGCATGTGCACCCGTTCCTACACCCGCCAGAGCATCGCGTATTCATGCCTGTCTACGAGTCTCTTTTATATTATTATAGCTTGATTATATGTATGCTGCCGGCACAATGTCATATAGGTGTTTTCATACACACCTGCAATCCGCTCCTGTGGTTGCGAATACATGAACATATATATATATATATATATATATATATATATATATATATATATATATATATATGATATATATGAGTATATGATTCAGTATTTCTATGGTTGTACTGTTGTCTACTGTAGGAACTTAGCCTGTAACTGCCACGTTAATTAGCAATTGGCTGTTTCATCCGTCTGCGGTGATAGTATCAGGAGTGAATAATAATAGATATATCTATTATTATTATTCACTTCTGATAATATGTCAACGCTAATCATAGTATCATAGTATCATAGTATCATAGTATTATAGTAATCATGTATGTCATAGCTATAATAATCATGCCATATGCAGTGGGTATATTTCCAGTCGAGTGGCAGCGAAGTGCAATGGCTAGATCGGATACGCGTTGCACTACT